TGATCGAAATTTATCGTGAGTTACCGATAGATAGCTCGGGATCGATGATTCAGTGAGATTGTATTAGATCAATATTTGGGTGTCGAGTCAACATTATAATGTTACGATATTGCTACAAGCTCGGTATCGAGACCAACACTTAAGATATTAGGCCAATCCTGGCGCATTGGGTCAATGTGTCAAATATTGCCATAGGTCAGCACAAGTTTTAGTACAGTGTTTATGAAATTTTACGATCGATCTTTTTTCAGAGAATGCTATTTAAATAGACATGTACGAACTTCATTTGTACGTCATTTTTCGAAAAAATATTTTACCAAACATGATGTTATAAAATTCTCTTATTTATCGAATAATAATTTGTCTATGTATTTTCTCTTCTTAAAATGAAATCCAAAAAATTCCCAGTAAAAGCTTAAAGTTAAACACATGGAAATCATGATTTCTGTATAGAAATTCAGAATTGTGTTCCTTTCGAAGTGAATACATTTAGAGAGAATATATCACGAAGGAAAAAAGAAATTCATCGCTAAGTATCGTTATTGTCATCTTCAAAATTAGCATATATATATCGAAAATGATAACTTTACCATCAAATCTTGAATTTTCAATTAACCCAACCTCGTGAACAATATTTCCAAATCCTAAAAACGAGTAACGTTAGAATAGTTAGAATAACACCAGAGATGAGGAAGAACGCGGAGGAAGATGGAACGGAGCCGAATGGAATGAATCCAATGGCAGTTAAACGAAGGAAAGAAAAGAAGGATACGGGCATGTAACCGGGCGGTTACCGTATCCGCCGTAATTTTCTTTTCGAAGCTGCGCCCCATAACCTCAAAAAAAAAAAAAATTGACTAGTTTCCGCGGCGAGATAAGATTCGGCATAAAAGCTCGGTCGAGATTCGATCGTTCGACGACTTTATTTCGATAATCTCTTATAGTCGAGGGCGGAGCGGAAAAAAAATGGGGGAGAGATTGGAGAAATTCTCGCTTTGGGAACCGAGGATCTCCGTAATTAACCCAATAAACGGCCTAATTAAAAATTAGAGCCAATTATCAGTTTCTCCGCTCACTCGGGGAAGGGAGAGGGGGCGGGAGGATCCGCTTACAACCAGATCACGGAAATCCCTCCTCCAATGTAATCCAACCGTTCACAACCGTGAATATTATTAATCTGATATTAATTGAACGGGCCACGGTATGCCAATCCTCGATTTCAAGAGGGGGAAAAAAAAAGGAGTTTGTACAGAGAAGGAAGAAAAAAAAAAAATATCTGGATCCTCTCCCTCTCGTTTGAAAATTTGGGATCAGTAGTTGCCGGTCCAAGGATTTTTCATCGTCATCGCGAAAGATTTGGATTTCGAACGTTTTACTCGATCGGTAACATCTCGCTCCACGGAAGAACGTCTCGCGGCGCAGATACAGTTAAATCCTAATCTTAAGGAACAACTACTCGGGGCAACGAGGTACACTCAAGTTCAGCTTCTTTCTTGGACGCCCGTTCCGAGTTTCTCGTTATCGTCCCGTTTTTCCTTCCACGGAATGCGAAAACTATTCGACGTAACGCTATGAGCAATATCTCTCCCCCCTCCAACTCCGCACGTTCAACTTCAATTCATGTCGGAATTTATTACGCTCTAACTAACTTATCGATCGAGGGGAGAAGCGTGATTCTCGTGATATCTCTTCTGGTAAAGACGAGAGGAAAACTCGCGAACGCGGCAACCATCCGAGGATTTACGTTTTAGCTTAGATTTCCAGTCAAGTTTAATTTCGACCCCGATCGGATTTTATTTAGGTTCGAGATGGGTTCGAGTCCTAGCTTTTACTCCAACTATGAGTTAAATCTCTTATTTAGAATTGGAAAATGAATACGCTGAGTCTGGAGTCTGAGTTTGCATTATATAAATTATATAAATTATATAAACGTTATATTATAAAGTATAATTATAACGTTTATATAATATAAAGTATAATTATAAGATCTTGCTTTTTGTATTTGGGTTATAGTTTATCGTGAATATCGATTAAATTTTATATATAAGTTTGAGAGAGATTTAATCGAAATACAAATTCAATTTTCTATGTAGATACGAGCGATAACTATGCCGATTGTTTGAACTAAGTTTATATCTAGACTACGTTAGATCTAATTATCATAGGTTCAGGTTATATTTGAGTTAAGGAAGAGATAGGAAAAATTTTAACGAAGTTGAAGAATAAACTAATGGACTTTATTTCGATGAATTATTTCGATAAATGCAGTGTCGAACGATCGAGATTATACGAATAGCTACGAATAAATATTTTAATCAGTTAAAGTAATTTTACTCGAAATTTTCAACTTGATTATTCTGTCAACGGGTTAGTGGTCAATTAAACTTTCTTTTATTTAGATTAAAGTACGAATTAAATCTACGAATTAGATTCGATGCATGGGTAACATCAGGCCAGATTTTTCGAGTATTTAATTTTTCATCGGGTTACTTGGAAAATTATGTACGCGCCTGTTTTTCTCCCCCATTACCCCCTGACTCAACACACTTGACCTTCTTCCAACGGGTCGGGATATGCGAGAAAAACGGCAGATAGACGGGACGATAAGGTGGAAAGTTGGTAAGAGGGACTTGCCTGTATTTTGCTTAGACCGTGCAAGATTAATCAGCGATTTCGATATAAGCACAATCTTCCAATTTCCGTATCCATTATTATCGATGTCGTCTCCTCCTGTCTTAAGATCTTCGAGAAGCACTTTTTCGTGCACAACGAGAGATGAAAGAGGATGTCAAACTTACAAACTCGAGGAGCCATCGAAAAATTTCCCAAAATCTTTACAACAAGATCGTAAATCGTTCTAATTTTAGAACTCTTCGTAAGAGAATTGAAACATAGAATGCAGTTACATTTCTCCAACACTAATTTATTTAATCTTATTAAACATCATTTTGTAATTTCCCTTCGATAAATATCAATATGACACTGATCTTTTTTACAGTGATCTCTCAATCAAAGTTGTTCAAAGACACTCAAAAATACAATTCAACGCTCGATCGAAAATATTAAATCCCTCCCCCCATTCCATCCATTCCGTTTCTCCCGTTTTCCAAGAAATCGAGTTAAAAAATCTTCTCATCCTCTCATTTTCGACGCAGTTCATCCATCGTTCACCTTCCCCTCTTCACTGGCCCAAACTGTCCACCAACCACTGTCTCCACTCTTGGCCACGCGAAACGACGTTATTAAAATTACGCGCGGCCGAGCACGCGAGCCACCCCCTATTCCCCACTCGCGTCGAGAATTTTAAATTTCGGCCGCCTATTCCATGAATAATACGTAACAGGCGAACACGTATAACCCCCTTCCCCCTCCACCCCTGTATTCGAATAACCGTAACGCGGATGTCTCGGTGGAAAATCGCGGGGGATAAACAGGGGGATATTCAGAGGTGCGTGCATATTACACGCACGCCGGTCCAATGTACCAGACGATCCTGTCGGTTCGGCCCCGCGTAACACACGCCGGCCACATCCACGTTCCACGTTTAATCGGCTGGGACCGGAACACGCTGCATTTTCAAACGAATCGATCGTCGACAGAGACGCGTTTGATCATTGCTGGAGGATGAGGGGGGAGGAGGGGGGAGGAGGCGCGTTTGGGAGGAGAAGGTGGAACGTGAATGGGTCTCGATGACACTCCTCGATACCGAGAGGTTCGTGAAAAATTACCAGCAGAACTCTCGAATCGAATATCGTGGAATTCTTAATGGCAAGAAAAAAAAAAAAAAAAAGAAAAAAAAAAAACGAATCGAAGTCCTGCCGAGTGTTCTGCGAGAAATTTCGAAGGCTTTTCTTTCTCTTTCTTTCTCTTTCTTTTCCTTTTTTGCAGGAGGAGAAAATTGAATTTGAAAATGTCACGGAGGGCACACGGAGTGAGTAGAATGGGAACGCGTGTTGGGTCAAGCGCGCCGGGAACCATCATTTTGTAATCGCCACCGCCGTCTGCGCTCCGTGAATTAGGGTTGGCTGTATTATTTATATGAAACGTGCACTCAAGACCCCGCGCATCGTCACCGATGCTCTTTTAATTTTATTCTCGATTAAAGTTACAGAGAGAACGGGCGTATATCCAATTTTTGTACCACGAAATTTTGTACCACGAGGTAGCTCTCCCGTATCTTGAAACTTTGGGTAAACGTAAGAAAAGATTCAAAAAAAATTATCCCTTATTTTAAGTTTCGTAGGTTTTAACCCCTCCTCCCTTTCTTTACATCTGAACGATCCTTTCAACGATCCTTTCAGACAACGTTTCCCTCGTTAGAAATATATTATATTCTTACGTTAAGATCTCTTCAACCCCATTTATCCCATAATAACCCGGCAGAATCATCGAGGGTTACCGGTTAAATTGGACCTTCTTCAACCATCCTTGATCGATCTCCCTACTCCGTGCACCAATCGAACATATATATATATATATAGATCGAACGACAACGCGGGGGAAAAAGGGAAAAAAAAAGGAGCGAAGGGAAACAATCAACTGGCAGCAAAAATCCGCATAATTCCTGGCGGAAGAGTCGCCGGGAGCGAGTTGCCCGGAGCGTAGCGTATTTCCCCCCAATTTCGTTAGCGCCTGCACACACGCAACGCAGGGAACGCGAGCAGTGAGGCTCGCGCAGCGTCAGAGGAAGACGGAGAATTTTGCAGCGATCATCGACTCGGATAACTGCGCACGCGCACTCGAAACTACCACTCCAACTCGCCCCGTCTCGGTCGCTTCGTATCGCTCCCTCGGCTACCTTCGTCTTTCTTCGCTGTTCTGCTCCCGGCCGCTCGGCTCTCCTTCCCCCACCAACCCGCCCACCGACTCACGCTTACCGGCCATCTCTCTCGCGACGACTAGCACTAGCACCACCATCACCACCACCACCACCACCACCAACCACCAGCAAGGGAGCATCAGTGGTAGCAGCAGCGGCACCAGCAGCAACACACCAGCACCTCCTCCTGGTTCTCCTCCTGCTGGTGTGTACCGATGCCGCAGTAGCGACTGCCTCTCTGCCCCGTATAGATTTTCAATTAGTCCGCGCGGAACGTGGAAAATAATGTGCCGCTCCGACACCTGCTGACCATCCCCGAAGGTCGCTCGCGTCCCGGATCCCGGTCGACGTGTCTATCGCGCGTCGTTCCCCGTTCGTCGTCGTCGTCGTCGTCGCGCACCATCGTCGTCGTGACCTGGTGGATGGACAAATTGGAGAGGGTGTGGGATCGATTTCCTCCGTCTCGTGTGCGTGTGCAGTGTTGAAAAAGGACAGAGAATGGGCGAACAGTGACAAGATCTTCGAACGATCCACACGGGTCCATGGGATCGTCAGAGAGGATGCCGTTCCCGGTGAATCGCAGGACCCCGTTGTCCAGTATCATCGCTATCTCTGCGTTCATGCTGCATTCAGGTAGGAGGATTTGGTGTTATATATCGACGATGGACGAAGAAGAAGAAGAAGAAGGGGAAGAAAGTTTTTTTTTTTTTCTTCGTGATAAAATGGTATCTCTGGTGAAGTTTCCATACCCCATTCTTATTCTTAATAATAAGAACGTGTTTGTAGGATTCGGATTCCTTTTAGGAATGAACATTCGACACCGATGATCGATCGCGTTCAATCGCCGATCAAAGATATTGCCAGTCAATATTTGATTCCACGAGGGTATTGTTCGTATTGTTTGGATGTTTGCACGACGGCCGATGGGCCTTTGGCATCCGAAACCACATCGATTTCCGCATGCACCGCGTGTAATTTGCGTAATTCCAATATCCTAGACGCGTCGATCTTCCTTGACCCACGTGGGGAGAACTGGGGAGGGAGGGGACAATTGTATCCGTCATCCGTCGATCTCCGAATTAAATGGGTATCGTGATGGGTTTATTTTTATTTTCACGAGCTAATTTTGAATAATCAGAACAGCTACAGATTCGAAGATTGGATTTAAATAATTGAAATTGAATTCGAAAGGGAAATTTAAGGTCTTAATGAATATTGCTGCTTGTATAGAACAGATGGTGTTTGAGTTGGTTTCTAGTTATTTTTAGTTCTCGCCTTTGCCACGTTTATTAAAAGTTGGCAGCACGTTAAACGAGCAAATGAGAATTGAAAGTGTATTCTGGACGGGCGAGCGCATCGGTTCACCATGTGCCATTCAAAAGAGCGGGATAGAAGTTTCCTTGGTTACACGGTGCGCGAACTTCCGCGAGAGAATGGCGGTAATACGGTAACCAACAGACATTTAGATAGGATCCGCTTTGTAGAGGATAGAAATAGGATTCCCGGGACGCGCAAGTCCAGCAAGATAAAGGGTAAAGTGGATGAATTCCAATTTTGAACGAAAGCCACCCCTCAGAAAAAGGATTTTCGACCGAGTTTTTCAACATTGCGTGCGAGTCTTGAGCGAACTCGAATTTATGGTTAAATTTTTGAAATTAAATGTATATCGGTTTTAAGGTTAATTAATATTTAAGTTTTTGTAAAAAATATTTTCGCGTAATTGAAGTGTTACAAATATCATGTGCAATTTAATTCTTGCTCAAATTCTTTGAATTAATGAGTGAAAAACGAATGTCGAGGTTAAGTTTAATCATGAATTCCGGTAATATATATTTCATCTAATCTAAACCTAATCAAATTTAAGTTTGAATTAACGTGAGCCACATCTGAATTAAGTTCAAGCTCGAAGTGCACATATCCGAATGTAATCCCAAATTTATAATTAAATTTCAATTAGAACGAATCATATCTTAATTAAATTCAATTTAATCAACCTAATCTAATAAATATATCTCGTTGAAAAATAAAACTCTTTGAATATTAAAATATCTTTTTTTTTTTACATTATATGATAAATTTCAAGTATCGTGTACATATTTTTAAATTTGCTAATCAGCATCTTGTACACTTTTTTTCGTGTCATAAATCATTATAGAAATATCAAATATAATAATCCTTCGTTATTTTCAAAAATTAATACAACTGTCTTAAACCTAACCTAAAATCAAAACTAATAATTTTCCTAAATCTAAACCTCTATCTAATTCAAATTTTAGATTTAAAATTTCCAAATCGAAGGGAAAAAATCTTGTTGTTCTAAGTAATGTCTATATTACTTCGTATCAGTGAGTTGTAAAAAAAAAAAAAAAAAAAAAAGAAAAAAACACGAAGCGCGAAGCGATAGAGTTAGCCGGCATAGCGAAGAAACGTCAGTGTGGACAACTTTTTCCAGTCGTCACGCGACCACCGCCACGCCGGTTAATCGCTTCGAGGACCATTCCTAATCAAGAAAACGAGCAGATATACGGGCGCGTAAAGCGGTTCGTTTAAAGACGGGGCCAGCACGACAACGTAATCGCCGACAACCTCGCGAAAGCGTATTACGATAGGTCGTTAACTCGAGTACTCTAATTGGCTCAATTCCCAATAAAACTCACCGGTGAACCGCCACTGGATCCGACCTCGAATAAAACAATATAACGCGAGCCATCTCGCACCCTCGATGCAACCCCATTCGTTCTTCCCTTCCTTATTTTTTTTTAATATCACCAACAATTTCGATAATTATCAATTTTCTCTTTTTTTTCTTTCCTTTTTGCACACAACGTTTTTAATCGTAAAAAATATATTTAACATATTTAATATATTTAACATATTTTTTAAACATATTTTCGAAATACAATAGTACCCGGTTAATTGTCGCATTTTTTTATTTGTTGTGTAAATTCTTAAAATTGGAGCTTTAATTGAGAAAAAAAGATGATTCTCATCAATTCTTAAAATTGGAACTCCGGTTTTAGAAAGAAGTCGATGATTCGCGGAGCATGATGCCCGCTTAATTGTCGCATCTTTTAACTGTCCCGTTTAACTGTCGTGTATCAATTTTTAGAAATTGGAACTCCATTTGAGAAAGAAGCCAATGATTCGTAGAATATGTGTCGCGTTTTTTTAACCGTTGTGAGGTTAGAATTGAAATTCCATTTGAGAAAGAAGCTGTCAACGATGCATAAAACATCTATCTCTCTGTAGAATAATTGACGCTGTATAATCTTCGATTTTTATTGTGTACTATTTCTGATGAAATAATGGCGAAATATACAAAATATATAAACATTAATAATAAAAATTATGTCTAACCTAAACTTAATATTCGATTTAATATATAAATGTATAATAATATATAAATGTAAGATGAGGTTAGATCGAACTTGATTGATGAAGGAACAAAGAAACCCGTTAGAGTACACGTTGATGTATGATTAAAGATTAATCTTCGAGGTTCAATCGCTGAGTCATTTGTACAAGTAATATTACATCCGATAACTCTGATTGGACAAGGAAAATTATTTAAGATTGGATTTACTCGTGTGGATCGATTCAATAGATTAATCCTTATCGACGCATGGTCAATCAGGAAGCACGGTTTCTTTAATCCTTATCGATTGAGCTAAAATTGGAACTATATTAGATCAATATTGACACCGATTTAAATATATTTTTTGATCATGTTGAATAAAAATTTACATATTACGTGTATTATATTAAAAATTTAATTATTTTTATTAATTAGATATAATTTTTATCAATCAAACTTCTAACCTCTATTTTAAATTTAAGCAAATTACGCACATTTGTGCAGCAAAGCTCTTGTTTCGAGACACTTCGTACGTGTTAAAGTACGAGTGGTGTGGCAGAAAATTCGATAATTCAAGAGTTGGAAAAAATATGGCCCGTACACGCGAGCTGAAAATTAACGCCAGTGGCCGTGTAACGTTTAATTCGAGGCATAAGCGCGTAATACTAGGCGATAATACAGTCGGTAAATAATCTGAGTATATATCTGGCTACTGATTAACCTCCCCTCTCGACAGGTTCGTCCAACCCTCGTCCGATTGCGTTTAATTAAATCGACCGTGTCCGTGTCCGTCAAGAGCACGTGCGACCAGCAGCGTCGTGACGCTAGGCGTCCATCCCTCTCCAATGGAAAGATACAATCCCCCTGATCGTAAATGTTTCATTAACGGTTAAATGCAAGAGGACTCGGCTATTATATATTGGGATTCGTCAACTAATTTTTTTTCATTTTTTTTTTTTAATTATCTTGCTTTTTTATCTGTGCTCTTTTATTTGTAAATGCAAAGTTTTTTTCCGAAAAAAAAAAAATTTAAATAGTGGAATTATTATAAGAATATATAGGAATAGAAATATATTAGAAATATTTAAAGAAATATAATATAATAAATATTAGAGAAAGATTTAATAAGTTTCGAATTGTCGAATTGTTGGTCGAATTGTTTTGAACTTGAGTTCGAAGAATTTTAGAAAATTTTTTTTTTAAATTTTAATTTTTAATGATTTTCATTGGAAAAAAGAAATATTCTGGAGAGTTTTAAATTTAGAGATTTCAAACTTAAAATTTTGGATTTTGATTTTTTTTTTAATTTAAAAATCAGATTTCCATTTATTTCTAAAATGATAATATAAAGCTTTTTCATTTATACATGTAACAAAGAGAAATCTGCCTTTAAATTTCCATAAAAATTTAAAACAAATTTTTTAATTTATTCTATTTTATCATTTAAATTTTGTAACTCGATTGATTAGGTATCGCTTAATGAATGAAATCATAATTTTTTATAATTCTAATCTTGAAATGAATACGACAAGTTCAATAAACAATTCGAGTTCAAATATAATAATTTTCACCCTCTATTTCGAACATCAGTCTATTTTAACCACATAAAATTATTGATGTTCATCGACCAAGATTTCTTCCATCCTATTCCATCAATAGAAGGATATCAAATAGAAGGATGCATTTCCAATAAATGTAGCCATATCTGACAGGAACCCGACCGAAAATACTACAATTTATACCAGTCTGACCTATAATAGATCTCTAGCAAAACTCGGTCAATTTCCTTATCGACCGAGAACACTTTTTCTCTTTTAAAATTACCGACCGGGATAATCGAATGAATGAACATATGAGATCGCTGAAAAACGGGTTTTACCAATGAAAAAGAGAGAGGGGGAAAAATAGATTGGATCGAAGAAATTAATTAAAACTACTGGAAAAACTGCAACCATCGATTCGAGTAGTGTTTAGCGGTTTGATAAGTATTACGAGTAACTGTTGAATGAGAAAATACGAATAATAGAAAATGAAAGGAAACTTCCATTCGCGATAACGCGTTCTAACGCTTAATAATTCCCTTCTGTCGATTTTCCATCGATATAATCGATATAAAGATAGAATGCGGAAAACATGATTTATCGAGTATCCGACTATAAAATCGTTAATTTTCCAACGTTGAATAAACGGAAATTCGATGATTCCGCCATTGACAAGATGTAATTTAATTATTCTCCGTATCATTCCTAATAATCTCTCAGCGAAGGGAAAGGAGACGAAGAGAGAAAGTTTAACTACCATCCCAGAATGAGAGAGAAGGAAGAAGAGACTTTCTTCTCTCTTAGCTGAATCATCAAAATAAATTTCACATCCCTCTCGATACATTCGTTTTATTATTTAAACTTTAAATAACTCGGTTAATTACGCTTCGTTCATTTTTTTTAAAAATTCTATAATACCTCGAGTCTTACATCGGAATTTTTCTATCTTTTCTTTTTAATCAAAATAAGAACATTTTTTTTTAATTATACAACATGGATACGTATCGATCATCGATAATTTTAAGAAATTAACTGTATAAGAGGATTACAATGATCCGATTACAATATATAATTATGGATAATTTTATCCAAGTCATAAGAATTTTATTTCGTATATTCGATCGCAGTTTCGTGTTGAAGATTAATATCTTTCGAATTATTATTCAAACAATATAAAATTTCTTCGCTCTCGTCAACTGTTGACTGTTATTCATTCGATTTGAAATATGGTTTCGAACAATTTTACCAAATTCATTTCACTCGAAATCAATATTGTCAATTTTCAAGCGAAATTGAAGACTATCCTTTCAATAGATAGGAATACAAGTTTCTAAGTAATGCAATATTATCTCTGGTCTCATTCTTATATCGATATCTTCAGATCAAGTAGAATTTTTCCTTCGAAATGTTCGATCATATCGTAGAAATTATCAAAGTTTCGCGTAGACATTTTTCAGATCGTTATATTTCCATCTTTTTTCTCATTACGCCGTTATAGATTGTAAATTTTCCAATGGATATCCGTTCGAGGTCAAGTTACTTGAGACTAGGGACAACTTCAAATCAAATAATGGACAAATAAAGTTGTGGTCTTAAATTCTTAAACTCGATTCTCTTTCCATCATTCCAATATTAATTCTAAAACTTGATTGAAAAATAATTCGTAAAAATTTCGTGATAATCTTTTCAGGTATTGTGGCCCTTCGAATGACAGCCCTGCAAATACCGCAACACGTTGTTCTGAACGAGACGGTCCGTATGCAGTGCAACTTCAATTTGGATAAAGAACTATTGTACTCTGTGAAATGGTATAAAGACGGCCACGAATTTTATCGTTACGTGCCGAGGGATGTGCCAATGGTTCAAACCTTTCGCGTTCCTGGTGTTGATGTGAACGTGGGTATTAATCATTGATTTTCTCATTGAAAGATCGATGACCTCCTCCTTAATTACAGACGCATAATTCCACGGAAAGATCGGTGGTTTTGAACAATGTGAATCTTACTAGCTCAGGAAGGTATCGATGCGAGGTGTCTGCCGAGGCTCCAGCCTTTCAGACAGTGTCTGACCATGCAGACATGACGGTAGTAGGTGAGGAAACGTATTAATTAAAATATATATAGAAAAATATTGTATTCGTTTTAAGAAAATCGATGTGTAAAAAATCGTATTAATTTTAACAAAACAAAACAAAATTTTTCTCTGTTACTTTTTTTCCAATCACTCCACGTTCTGGTTAATAAGCTATATTTATTAAACGTATCCTAATTATTAATTTTATTATTAATAGTTCGTTGAATAGTGATAATCAACCATAATTTATAAATTTTAATTTGCAACCTATTCAAATATATTCATTTGTGTATAATCACTTCTTAATGTCTAAATTTGGCGCGAGTCAATTTGATGTCAGATCGGCATTCATTGTTAAATTGTTGAAAAAAAAAAAAATATTTATCGCGTATTAAAATGTGAGGAAAAAAAATTATTATCGTTACAGTACTTCCTGACGAAGGGCCACGAATAACCGGTGGCCGTTCGCGCTATCAAGTCGGCGAGATCGTTCGAATGAACTGTACGTCCGCGCCCTCAAAACCGGCCGCTTTATTAACTTGGTTCATCAATGGTGATCAGGTAAGTGGACTTAAAAAAAAAAAAAAAAAAAAAAAAAAAAAATTCAATTGTAATTGTTTCTTTCGCTACGATCCCATCCGTTTCACCGTCACGAAAATAATCGACGATATATTTCAGGCCGATAATCAGTACCTGAAGGGACCACACATTACCGCTGTGGACGAGAAAGGATTGGAAACCGCGGTATTAGGCTTGGAGTTTCGCGTCGCCAACAAACACTTCAAGCGTGGCGACATGAAGCTGAAGTGCTTGGCGACAATAGCGACCGTCTATCTGCAGAGCAATGAGGAGAGCGTGGAAGGAGACGAGAGGATCCTGAAAGCTCCCGTGATGGAGAGCCGCGAGACCAGGGCACAGAGCCACACTCGGAACGATTTAATCAATGGTAAAATCCCTAGTGAATCCCCACTCATGAACATTTTGATAGAATCTCCACCAGATGTCACTCTCCGAGTGTTTAGTTTCGACAATTTTTAATGGCCGCTCGATTGGACGTTTCTTCGAATTCTTATGTACTTTCTCTCGTTGTTCACTTGTCGTTTCTTTCTCACGAAAATTAAATTTTAATATCGGGAATGAATATTATGCGAAAAAAAAAATGGAACATCGAAGATGAAATATACGGTTTACGACGAACAATTCGATATCGTATCTCGTTCGTTTTCATTTTTGCTCTAGGAACTTTCAATTGGTTGCTCAATTGGTTGCTGCAATTCGAATGATTTTATATTTTTTTTTTTCTCTCGTTGTTTTCTTATCGTTTTTTATCACACGAAATTAAAAATATTGAAATTTCGGAATTGAATTGTTATGAAAATATGCGATGTCATAACGGATAAAATATGTGATTCATAATACGTTGCATTTTTTATTGGCTAGATACAAATTGAAAAATTATCGTTTATTTACGAATAACAATAACAGTGAATGTTTAAACGGGATTTATGGAAAATTTACTAGCCGCTGTCTGATTAAATGGGATACTTTCAAATGCAAATAAATTGGGAAATTGATTACATTATAGGTTAATTGACTCGTGATTAAACGCTTGACCGTTCGATAAATAATTCATCGATTAAAATGGGACAACGGTTTCGAGCCAAATGATAATTAATCTAACCGAAAAGTTCTATCGAGAGGATTAAATTTTTATTTAATGTTTTCATTTATGTTTCAACCATTTATTTAATGTCATTTATTAAAGAAAACAAAATTATATGGATATGAAAATATATAAAAAAATTAATCATTTAATTTAAATATTATAACTTAAATATAAAATATTCGAAATATTTAAGAATAACAAAACTGCTTAACATAGAATCCTTTAAACTCAATTACATTGTTTAGAAAACAGAATATTTTCTAAAGAAAAATAAATTTTTATTATTATAAAGGTACGATTCAATTGGTTGAATAGATAGATCAGACATATTTAAAAAGCTATTCAAATGAAATAGCATAGCTTTGAAGATGAAAACTATTATCGATATTGGATATTCGAAATATCTTACTGAAAATCGAGTAATGCTCAACAAAAAACTCTTTGATGTTGAACCAAAGCTATAAATCTGAAGAATATCTATTTCTTTTCCAAGTTTCGTATTAAAAAACTTTTTCTTGTTGAAATTTTCAACAATATTTGTAGTTACAAATATGAAACATAATTTTTTAAATAACAATATTCATAGAATGTGTTAATAAGATAAAAGATAAAAGATTCCCTAACTTTTTTCATTGCCATTTTAACTCTTTGAAATAAAAATCATAAAAATTTTTCACTTCATGAAATATTCTTCTATTCGAAGAGAGAGAATTGGAAATGATGAAATACATATTTCAGTAAAATACGTATATTAAGCAAAGTTATTTCTTCTTTCAGGAAGTCAAACAGCCACGATATTCAACCGGATGATCGTTTTTCTGATCACAGGAATCATCCTAGCGCGATAATAACAACAATTGTTTTTCACGTTGCTTCCTAAGATTAAAACAAATACGTTAGAAGATTGTTCCCATTGTATCTAATACTAATTTTTAAGCCGCATAATCGTAATTAAATATCATATCGATAAACATGATAAGAGATTGAATGTTCGGTTGAACGTGATTGACGTACAAACAATGGTAGATCTATCAAAATCTTTAATGTTTTTTCTTTTGATTTTAATATAAATAAAATTTAATTCACTTACTGTCATTAAAAGAAGATATTAATGTTGATGTTAATTTTTAAAAAATTGTAATAATTTTTAAAAATATTAATGTTTTTTTATATAAATTTTAAATAAAAAAAAAATTTTATAAAAATTGATAAAGAAGGAAAATTAATTTTATTTTTAAATAAAAATACATTTGTGGATCTGCCAATGTTAATAAATAAAAATATGTTCTAGGCTCTAAATGTATTCTCATGTGAGGAAAAAGTCACATTTAAAACATATCCATGGAATTATCGAAGAAAGAGAGAGAAAGTATAAAATTATAAAAAAAAGAAGAATAAGACAGAAAACAAATGACTCAAAAAAAATCAAAGGAAGCATAAATCCGTCTCTCCATATGCATATACATATATATATATATATATATGTATATGTTAGATCGTCCAGAGATCTTTTTAGCAAATAAATAAGAAAATTCTTATTGCTTTCCCATACATTGATACATATTATTTTTACTACAATTTTATAATGGTATTTCTATTTTTACTGCATATCATTTTTTATATGTATATTTAAAAAAAAAAAGAAGACAAAAGAGGGACTCTTTATGGAAAATACATTTTTTTCCATCTCCAAACCTTGCTATTGTAACAATAAATACAATAGAAAATAATCACAAACAAATTCTGCACAAACTAATGCTGGGTAATTATTATTTTGATTAAATTGATATTATTTCATTTTAATATAATAATTGTATATTTTAATCATATAATAATATAATTATATAATAATAATTATATAATAAATTTTATATAAATAATTATATAATATTAATTTAATAAATAATTATATAATAAATTTTTTTTGAAAATATTTGAAATGATGAAAATATAATTTAAAGATAATTTTATATTATTAAAAATGATTTATTTTTTATTGTAAAAATTCATTTCAATTACTTTAAAAGATAAAAATTATTAACTTCATAAAATTTAAATAGTTTAAAAATAAAAATACCCAGTACTGATACAAATAATACATCTCATATAATATAATCTCAGCTACAATAGATATTTCAGGAATATATATTTTTATCTAGATTTCTGCATTCAATGATCGTACTAATCTATCATGTCTCAAATTTTCCTGCGCGAATCATTTAAATATGAGGAATTGAAGTCTGTATAAAAACATGCGCCATTATAAAAAAGCGTCGCAATGAAATATCTTTTTAAGCAAAGAAAAAATTATAGTTAAAAGTATATTGTATCGATGTTTTAATGCAAAATCATCTTATGTGTGTGAACAAATTTTAATTTATAAAATTAATTCGAAACCTAAAAACTCAATTATTCATATTTGAAAGATAAATGTTACAAATGTTACAAATTTTTTTTTTTTTGCAAAATTAGTTTTTCTTATGAAATTGCTAAACAAAAAAATTTTAAAAAGAAATATTTAGCATCTTTTTCATATCCTTACAATGATATTTTAAGATATAAGATTATCCCTAAAAAAAAATTATATTTATATTAGAAAATCATTAGTGAGAGTTGTCTTCCTGTACGAAGCAATTTCACAAGAAAGATTGTTAATTAAATATTGCTAATGATATTCATTGTTATTTATTGCGAGAATTTTATTGATGAATCCTTTATACATATATAATATTATTCCTATATTGATATTATCACAAATATTTATGTGCGCGAAAGTTCAAAAATTTTAATACAAATCGAAATTTCGAATTTGTACGAAATCAATTCTTTCTCTTTTTATTTAAATGATATTTCATTTACTTAAAATGTCATTAAGCACAAAAGAAAAAGAAAAATGAAAACAAAATCACATATGCGAGAATCACACCATATAAACGTGTAAGTATCTAAGCTAAAAATGTATTTCTTACATAGTAGTGTATCAAAATTCTGATACTTGTCAAATAAGTGTTTAATGAAGCTGTAAATATGTACATAATTTTCATCGTTATTAAAATTCAATATTATAATACTGTTCTCATTTCATTTTTTTCCTTTTTGTACTTTGAAATTTAATAAATTTCAAAGATATTATCCATAAACAAATACATTACTACATTATCTATCTGCATCATTTAATCTAATTTAATTATCACTCTTAATGCATACACTTAATTATAAATACATCTTATTTATTCAATATTTTCATATTAAGTATTTATTTATATATACATATATATACATATATTTTAGTTAAATATAATCTATCTAATCAAATTAACCTCAAAAAATAAATCCCAGTTAGAAATCTAACTTAACCTAAATAATGGTAAAATAGACACAACATATTTATAATATCCAAAAGAAATTTACACTAGAGAAAATATCCTGAAATGCTTTCAATAAATATAAGCACACTATTTGCATATTTTAATATACATATCAATATAATATACATATAATAAAAAATTATTAATTTATAATTGATAATATTATTCATATATTTTCATCTAAAAGATGATTATATATTTAAATTATCAATATTATTCATTGTATTATTTATTTAATATAAAATTAATTATCAATATAATTTTCTTAAAATTTTCATTTTCTTAAAATAATATTGATACAAGAAATGCGATACAAGAAATTTTGTGATTTGATCTAATATAATAAATAAAATACATAATATAATAAATATAATAAAACAATAGAAAAAAAATATTATAATTCATATATCATTATGCTTGTGTGTATGATCGAAGGAATAAAAAAGCATGCGACTTACCACTAGACGTGAAAAACCTTGTCATCTATGCGGCATAACAAAAAATTATCATGAAGGCAGAGAAATATCTATAGCAAAACATAAAACATGATTATAATTTAAAATATAATTTATTGAAAAAATTATTTTGAAAAAATAAAATAATTATTTCAAAAAAAAAAAAGAAAAAAATTAATTAGTTTTTTAATATTAATAATAACGATTAAAATTCTAATAAACTATAATAATAATAAAAATTGGAATTTTAATATAAAAATTTCAAATTAAAAACTGAAATGATTCATTAATTTTTTTTATTTTTATTCTAATATTTTTAATAATTGTATATACATAAATTATAATGATAAATTACGAATAATCAAACAGAAAAAACAGAATGGATATATAATATATAAAATATCAATCTTTTCTATGGAATAGTATCCATATTGAAATTTTTCCCGCCTAAAAAGTTGTCTTAACAGATTAATAATTAATACAAAAAAAAAATAAGATTTTTAAATAATTATATTAAGATGAAATAATAATTTTAAATTCCATTAAAAAAATTCAATAATGATTAAATTTAAATCTTATAAAAAATCATATAAATTATCGGAAGTAATTAACCTCTATAATTAAATAAACGATTGAAAAAGAAATAACTAATTATTTTTATTATTACAATATTTAATGAATTATTAAATTAACAAAGTTAGTAAATTAATACCTACTAATTTATAAATTCAACAATAAAAAATAAAATTACTTACTGCATAATCAAAATTACACACTTCACACCAGCCATTGTGACAAACTGTCACGATGATTTTTGAGAAAAGAATAATACCACAAATTGATCTAGAGAGTTTTTTAATTGATGCATTTTCTTATTCACATAAAACGCGCAAAAATTGAAATATTAATATTAGTATTCATAAATGCAAAACAAAAATCACTGTACTTGCATTATGTTCAAAAAATAAGACAAAAATAATACAGTGACACAATAATAGCTTCCCACTTGTTTATGTGATAAAGTGCACTGACAACTAGAAAATATCAACAAGTTATAAATCGAGTTATAAATCAATAATAGAATAATCATAATCAAATGAAATCAAAATTTTAATTTGTATTAAATTTAAAAATGCAGAACATGTAAAAGGATTAAAAATTTTTGTATTATTTTAATATATAATAATTAGATATAATAATTATAAATATAATTATAATCTATAATATATAAATTTTTTGTTTTTTTTATTATAAATTTTATGTAAAATATAAAAATAAATATCATTATACAAATAATTCAAATAATTTTTACGTTTTTTCATCATAGAGAGACATCTATTAGTGGAAGTCAAATATTGTTCGTTATTTAAATATCTATTAGACATATTAACAACTTTAAATATTTAAATATTTATATATTTTACACTAGAAATTTGCAGAATTTTTTAAATAAAAATAGTATGTAGCAAAAAATACATATTTAATTTTAAAATATATATTTTATATGCACGTATTTATAAATTTCGAATGTATAACCTCAACAAAAATCAAAATTAATATTAAATAAAATCTTTAATGTTTAAAATATATAAAATAAAAATAAATAAAATATTATAAATAAATATTAAAATGAATAATATAAATTAAATTATAAAAATAGTAAATTATACTTACAATATTAATATTTATAATTAATATATAAATTAATTATCTATACCAAAAGAAACAAAGTTTTAACCAAACATTTAATAGAGTACTATTTTTTTATTCAGATGGAGCCTATGACATTAGGATCACCTGCTGGAAGTCCTATGCAAAGTCCTGGAAGTCCAGGAACTTCTGCATATCTTCCAAGTTTTCTTTTAGGTGATACTACTACAGTAAGTAAAATTTATTATCAAAATTCATTACATAATATATATACAATATAATAAATAATTATTTTTAATTTTTAGCCTGCTAAAATTAATTTGACAAGTCCTCAAGATACTCCAAAACAATTGCATATTGGACATAGTGGACTTACATCTCCATTATCTAATTATGGTACTCCAGACTATCGTACTAATCGTCAAAAAGCAGTATTCAGAGGTGCTAATACTCCTAATACATCACAAATAGTCACAGAAAGTCATTCTGGTGGACCTCCAACAGTAGAATTATTTGATACTGTAGAAAGTTTAAAAACTACATCTAATCAATGCAGTTTATCAACACCAAATCAAAGTATATCATATAATCAACCAAGACTTTTGCATAGTTCTATATTCAGTGATAGTGGATTGAATCCTAATACATCTGAATCACAAGGTCTTTTACAATGGGTAACTGTTTTTGGTTTTCCTCCTAGTGATATGAATAATGTTTTGGCTCATATTTCGAGCAGAGTTCGCATAGTAGATAAACATCCTCCACCACATTCACAAAGCAATTGGATACACTTAAAATGTGCTTCAGAACTAGAAGCACAAAGGGCACTTGCATGTAATGGAAATATAGTATCTGGATCTATAATGATCGGCGTAATTCCTTGTACAGATGAGGGTGTTATATTGCGGTGTGATAAAGAAAGAAGTTGTTCGAAAATGAATGGAAGTATTAAATCTTTTTGTAATATAGGACGACTCAGTAAATCACCAGAATATAGTACACCACGCACGCCAATTAGAATACAAAGTGCAAGACCATTGGCAGTTGGGTATAATCAAAATCTTAGCTCTCAATCAGTAAGATCACCAGAAAATGTTCCACAAAAATCTACAGGTTTAGTCTCAAAAGCAATGGAATATATGTTTGGTTGGTAATTTTTAAATGAAAAAAATTGTACATGACAAATATTATTTAATATTCCTTACATTTTTATAAAAATCGAATGCGATATAAACACGACCCGAGAGAGGAATATATATTCAAAAATCCCTAAAATGCTTGTTCATTTTTTTTTTTTTTTTTTTTTTTTACTACATCGATAGTACCAAATATAAATTTTTATACACATTGAATAATTATTACATATATTATTCCTAAACTATTAGTAATGTATTACTATATCTCTCTATTTTTTATAATAAACACTATCGATACTTAACCGATTCTACTGTAATATAACATAATATAATATATTTATAATCAAGTTATAATCAATGTTAAAATTACTTTCGCGACGATGACTCATCTATTATATATTGCACAGATATTAATTAAAATGGTCCGTTTCTTGACATATTCGTATTATTTAAAAAATATCGATGAACTTCTTTGCAAGCTGGTAACTTGTACTTTTTTATCGTGTCGATGGTGTAATACGCATGGAGAGAATTATAATGATAACCTCAGTTTGCAATGTTAAAAACTTGCGTAATTGTCGTAATCAGTGCATTCCTCTCTCTTAATTTGCATCTATTATAATATATATATCATCAAAATTTATAAATATATGATTCTTATAGAAAATAATTATTACTAATTTGAACAGGAGTATATCAAAATACTCAAGTCTATTCCTTCTCTAAATCCTATTCATATGTTAATTATCCATATGATTCAACTTATCCATATGATGCATTCATATTCTCGCGCGCATATTAATAAATATATTCATGTTGTTTTATATTTTATCTGATTTAAAATTATTTTGGATTTTCAATAGTGGCACTACCTAAATCAGTCATTTTTGGATATTTCACTTTTTTCTTTTCCAATTCATCTTGTGCCCAAAGTATCATCTTCAATAAGTTATTTAATCGTGGACTAGTTGATTCTTTATGCTCCATCTTCAATATAGCTGCATTTAATTCACTTGCTATCTAATTTTTTAAAAAAGATAATTCATATATAAAAGCAAAATACAAAGAATAAAGAAAAATAAAATGAAATTTTATAAATTTAATGTAAATTTATATATAAAATACATTATATATAAAATTATTTTTGTAATGAATTAAAAATAAAATGTAAATATTATAAACATGTAATATTTATAATATTTGTAATTTATACCTTTTGTCTATGAGTTGGATGAAGTAAATCACTATATGGACTTTTATGAGGTTCATCAAAAGCCAATAGTGCTAAGGTTCGCTCCAATTCACATAAAATTACATCATCTGATTCTCCAGCTTCACTTAATCTGTCTTGAGCAAATTGCAAAGCTTCCTCTATTTTTCCTGTACGAATCAATTCAATCAAATGCAATTGTTGCAGATGGAAATAAAGATATCTGTCATTATCCAATAATTCTGGATGTAGCTGATTCACTAAATCTGTTGCTTCCTGAATACGACCATTTTGAATTGCTTCTCTAATTCGAATTCTATCATCCAAAGAACTTAAATCCACTGTTGGTTCTACTCCAGATTCTTGTTGAAATTTTTCTGCAGCTTCTTTGAATCCCTCTATAATAAAATTACTTAATTAAAATATACAGGTTAAAATATTTTTATTTAGAAAAACTAACCTGTAACTAAATAATTCATAATTAAATTGTTCATAGAGACACGTTGTGTGTAAGAATTTTCTTCCAGCTTGGCAACCCATTCATCTTTCGTTATATTATCCTGTTTTTCCGGGTAGCTCATCGTTCTTTAGTAATTAGCATCGATGTTCACAATAAGTAAATAATAATCAAAACTAAAGTGAACAGATTCAATTAAAATACCTTACTGGTAAAGATTTCGAAGACTATTTGGCACAACAATTAATTCCTTATCGTTATTCCAAGCGTCAATAAAGATATAATCGCAAAGGGTGCACTTTAAAAACGATTCACTTTTGGCTCAAAAGTATTTTCTGATATATAAATATGTTTTTTTAAGAATGAACTGGAAATATTCTGAAATTATATTTTTACTAAGTTGTTACCGAAATATTATAAATGACGTTTAATGTTAGTAGTGATACACAATCGATATATACATTCCAAAATTGACGTGTACGACTGATGCACCGTGTGTATGGTAATTTATTTTTTGGTTTATCATATCACCCGAAGGTGGGGTAGTAGTTTATAATCATGGCGGACCCGCTGAGCTTGCTCAGACAATATAATGTTAATAAAAAAGAAATAATTGAACGTGAAAATCAAATTATTTTCGGTGAATTCTCCTGGCCGAAAAATGTTAAAACTAACTATTTGACTTATGGGTAAGTACAGGTTAAGTTTTTTAAAAATTGAATTGCGACAGCTGTAACCTCGAACAGATTCCACCATTAGTCAATCTTCTATATAATCCTTTTATCATCAATAAAATAATAAACAGTTATATAAAATAATACAATAAAATAATAAAAAATATTATTAGCATTTTTTTTAAAACTTATCACTTATTTCTACAATTCTTGAATTCTAGAAACTAAAAAGAAAATCATTTTTTGTCTCGTTTGTTACAGTGTCTTCGTTTATGTGAGTGTTTTGTTTCTTTTTGGTTACATGAATAAAAATAAAACATACTCTTAATGTGACATTCTTTTTTTTTAAATTAATATTTTTTACTTATAAAAGATATTTAACAAATGATAAAGTACGCTATGTAATTTGTTGTAGATCTGGTAAAGAAGGAACACCAAAGGAATATTATACTCTTGAGTGCCTTCTCTTTTTACTGAAACATGTACAACTTACACATCCTGTATATGTGCGACAAGCTGCTGCAGAGAATATACCAGTTGTTCGACGACCAGATAGAAAAGATTTATTGGCTTATCTCAATGGTGAAACTGCTACATCAGCCGCCATAGATAAATCTGCTCCTTTAGAAATCCCTACTCAAGTTAAAAGAACAGCTGAAGATGGATTGGAAAGTGGTTCCTCTAAAAAACCTCGTTTTGAGGACACACATGTTCAAAAAGTTAAGGAGCAACTTGCTGCTAGACTGGATGCTCCAAAAGAAGCTTCTGTTACAGTAGACAATATTAAATCTCTTTCTGAGGCCATGTCTGTAGAAAAAATTGCAGCTATCAAGGCTAAACGTTTAGCTAAAAAACGTACCACAATTAAAGAAAATGATGATATTGGAATGGGATCTGATTTACGTGTTATATTGATGGATGTTGATGATACAAAGGATATAGTTTCTAGGGAAAGGCAATGGAGAACACGTGCGACTATTTTACAAAGTAGTGGAAAAATATTTGCAAAAAATATATTTGCAATTCTTCAGAGTATCAAAGCCCGCGAAGAAGGTAGACAAAAAGGTCCTACTGCACCTACACCAATGGTTACTCCACGTTCCACACCAATGCGTCCTTTACCACAGCCAGCAGTTTACAATCGTTATGATCAAGAAAGATTTATCAGACAAAAAGAGGAAACAGAAGGATTTAAAATCGATACTATGGGTACATATCATGGTATGACTCTAAAGTCTGTAACAGAAGGTACCAATCCAGCGGTTAGAAAACCACCAAGTAATCCTTCCGCGACTCCTAATTCTGGTTTGCTGCCAACATCCGCTGCAAAACTTACTCCACAACAAGCAGCGCAAAATAAACGGCCTAGTAGAACTCCTATTATTATCATTCCAAGTGCAAACACATCACTTATCACAATGTATAACGCAAAAGATATATTGCAAGATCTGAAATATGTTAGTAATGAAGAAAAACGTACACAGGGCTGTAAACGAGAAAATGAAGTCCTTTTGCAACGTAGAAAAGAAGGAGGACTCACTGTACCATATAGAGTAGTAGATAATCCACAAAAACTTACAAATGCAGATTGGGAAAGAGTCGTCGCGGTATTTGTAATGGGTCCTGCTTGGCAATTTAAAGGTTGGCCTTTTGATGGCAACCCTGTTGAAATCTTTTCAAAAAGTAATTTTTTTTATATGAAATATAAATGAAATAATGTTTACATTAAGTAAATGTTAACAATTTTTATTCTATATATTTTAGTTTGTGCATTTCATCTGAAATACGATGAAATGAGATTAGATGCAAATGTAGCACGTTGGGCAGTAACAGTGATTGAACTAAGTAGGACAAAAAGACATTTGGATCGGGCAGCATTAATGGTATTCTGGGAACATCTTGATAAGTATGTTATCTTGATAAGTCTATTCATAGAATTATTTATATAATTGCATAATAATTCAATTACTTTATTTTAATTATTACAGACATATGATTAAAAACAAACCACATCTTCGATTTTAAACTTGATTAAGAAGAATGCAAGTTATCATTGATTTGGGTGCACGATTTTCATTGAAAGATTATAAAATAAAACATTGTATATATTACCGAGCAAATTAATATGTAATTCAAAAAAATATAAAAATTAATATGAACCCTCATTCAAAGAACCTAATTATGAGAATTTGGCAACAATTATGACTAATTCTTGTTCTTCTAAAATAAACTAAAGATATATTCGAGAAACTGGAATATATAACGAAAATGTTATATGCATAACATTATTAATCTTTCAATTCGATATTTTTACAAAATATTCTGGATTGAAAGATTAATATTTTTATATAACATTCACATAGAGGAACCTTAATATGATATTGATTGCTCTAGCATAAACTGATGTGCCTATTATTAAGCAAATAAGTATTATTCTTAAACATAGAGCATAAAAAAAAAACATATTTGATCTAACGTATTCATAACATACAGGATTCTCTCGCCAGTAGATTCAAAAATAATTATATTAATGATCATTACAAATATAATCATTTTTATTGTAATAACCATCATCGTGATGATAATAAAACAGCATCTTCATCGATAGATTATTATATACAAAAATAAAGTTATTGTCGCAATATTAAGGCGGCAGCATTGTATTTAGAGTCTATTAGAGTGAGA